CAAATAATAATAATAAAAATTGAGATAAAAATCTGTGTCTCACAGTAAATCTCAATATTTTGTTTATAATAATATGCTAACAATGTTAATACTGTTGTATAATATGGGTGGTTATGCCATATAGAAAATTTGCATACAGAAATTCTGTATGAATTATAATTTTTATTGCTATGAAATGATTATTATATATAAAAGATACAGAATTATTCCAAAAAAATTTGCAAAATATGCTAGCAGTCACAAGACATGTCACGCAGATTGATGACATTGCGGGTCTACAGGGGGTCAAGTGTCACTCACTAATAAAAATTTTTTGATCAACACAGAATTTTATATGAAAAAATGATGAAAAAAATCACACTTTCATCACAATACCACTATGTGATAATCTTAACATGAAGTTGGACTACCAGTTATATAAGTTCTATAATAATAATAAATTAAGAAATTGGATACTATATGTATTTATCATTTCTTTATTTTTTGACATGCAAACTTTGTAAAGATGGTTAATGCAAAATTAGAAGCACAATGTAAAACTATTTTACATTTTTGGATGAATGGTATCCATTCACCAAGAGAAATACATGAAAGATCAGAAATATCCCTTCGTATTATTCAGAAAAACCTAAAAATTTAAAAGAAACAGGCACTATCAAACATAAAGGTGGCAACGGTCATCCATCCAATGTCACACAAACATTTTCACATTCTATTGGGCAAGTTATTTGCCACAATAATGCTGTTTCAACACAACAACTTGCAGTAAAACTTCGAGAAACACATAATGCATCAATTTCACATCATACTATATGGAGACATATTAAAAAAAAAATTATAAGAGTTCTGTACCCATTGGAACACCAATGTTAACACCCCACCATATTGAAACAAGAATGGCATGGGCACAATTTCATATGAATAATGATTGGAGTTGTACAATTTTTACCAATGAAACAGCTTTTGACTTGTTTCATAATAAAATTCACAGGTGGCATAAAGATGGACAAAGACCAATTCGGAGATTATCTCAAGAACTTATTCAGCTGATGCAAATATTTACTTTAAATTATTAATTATTATTTTGTAATGCTCAATTGACCCAAATATTTATTTTACATTAATAAGCATATTTTATTGGACAAAATAGAGTAAAAGTCATGTTATTTGTAATACCCTAAGAGGTATAAAAAGACTTGGTTTTAGACCAAGTCAGAATCATGTTCATAACAATCTTTTAATTATAATTAATACTTCCTAACACTATTGTAATAATAATACTATTATCGCTAATAAAACACATAACATATTTTACCCAAGAACATTAATCTCTAATTAATTAATAACCTACAAGGGGAAACCTTTGCTACACGTAGCAAGTAATCAACATTTTAATTATTGAGGCACATCTCAAGGGACGCCTTTGGGATACAATTATATATATAGAACCTAGGGACCCTTTTATCCAGGAGGATAGAAGTTATTTTTATTAGTCTTTGACTGTAAGTTGGACCAACTTAAATCTACCAAGTGGTAAAAAGATCAGAAATATGTTGTTACCTATATATAAGGGTGCCAAAGAAAAGTGAATATTTTGATTTTAGTTGTTTATATCAATATAAACAATAATCTAATAATAACAATGATATTCATTATCTTAGCAACTTGATCAAAATTGGAGTACTTGATTTAGATAACCCAAAATATAAAGATCCTTCCTACAATGAATTACTAATTTATAAAAGAACATTGGATGACCTTGTTTCTTCCAAGAAAATTGGAAAACAGATATTTCAAAAGATGGATGAAATAAAGAAAATTGAAGGTTTTGAAGAAGCACAAAAAAACTTAAAGTCATGGTATAAAGATGATGATTTATTTTCAACAGATTTTGACCCCATGATGATGACATTTCTTCGAAGACTTGTTGAGAAAATGTAAGTTTTTGATTTATTTGTCACATAAGAAAGCTGCATATGTTGGAATGAGTTTGGAATTCATTTAATTTATTTAACTAAAAATTTTTGTCTTTTTAGTCTACGTTATTTTAATCTTGATTCAAGCTATTGGGAATTAAACCATTCTGAAACACATAAACACAGTGGCTTATTTTTTGACATTTTCTGTGATCTCTTTTATAATATAAGTTATTCTGTAGAGGGACATAAGTAAATATTAATATCTATATTATCTGAAATCTCATTTATTACTATTTATCATTGATTTATTTTTATTATCATCATCATAGGGGTTTGCAAGTAAACAAAGAACATCATAACTTATTAAAAACAATTGATGAAAACGTTGAGAAGGCTCTTGTGCCAGATATTACTACAGTGAACCCTCTATGAGTGCACCCCCTCGGGAACATAGTGCTACTTCTTGTGAGCGTGCATTTATGGAGGGTATACATAGTGCATGCATTTAGGGAGGGTGCACTTAGGGAGGGTTCACTGTATTGAGGATTTGAGGAACAACTTAGAAGTCTTGATTGTAGAGCATGGAAAGCAACAGTTGAATGATAATAGAAGAAAGTTTTTCAATGATAAGTTCAAATCATGCATCTTACTTCATGACATGTTACAATCTGTTTACAATGAATTGAGATTTGTTAACAAAGAAGAAATCAAAACATTTGATTTTAGTATTTTTAGTGTGGTGACATCTGGTAGACTAAAATTATAATTAATTTATTATATATATTAATATATGGGGTCTGGACAATAGAAACGGACCATGTTGTGAAAATGATGTTTTGAGAAAATTTAAAAAAAAGATCTGC